CGCAGTCTAGAAAGGTCTTTACCCTGACCTGACCATACTTTTAAATTTAGTAATTACAGAAAGTTCAATATTCAAAATTTTTGACACCATAATTATCCGAACGTGCAATTTTATGAATGTTCATATTAAACAAAATTAGCTTTTTATGTGCAACGTGTAGTTTTTGAGCAACGATTTAGCCGGTGTTTCATGACGTGGCCTGTAGGATATGACCATTGACCTGTAGATCCTGGCAAGTGGACAGCCTCTGCTCCCCATCCTGGTGGCGTCAAAATTTACTGTTTTGTTCCTGCTCTTCAAACTGCCACCAAAGCTATATGGTCTATTCATATAACGTCAGACTGCTTTTAAATGTCGAGTAACCACACACAAGCATGGCCGCCGAAAGCAAATGGGGTTATCTAATTGGCGAATATGTTTTGCTTTCTTTTGTTTTCCGTAGAGCATATGAATAAACATTATGTTAGCGGCCATGCTTGTGGCCGATGACTCAGCATCTGAATATACTCTAACGTCCAGCGAGCTACTTTCTAAAAACCAGCTGTTTGCTCAATTTTAGAACGTAATTAATCTACAAAACATGTTTTCTCTCCCTTATTCACTTATAATAATATGCTGAAAATTTTTAATCGCAGCAGCATCATGCCTTGACTACAGAGGTAATTGGCCTTCCAACGTGCCGTGGACACCCGTCTTGTGGCACGAAGCTCCGGCAGACTGCAACACATTTGGCTCGGAGAGCGCACCTGCAACTGCGGCGGGTCCTAATTCACCAGGTGTGTCAAGTGAAAGCAACGACCGTGCTTCCACCAATGTTTCAGCAAGTTACACAAGTTTTCATATACTTTTCTATTTTATTGTTTGAATGTGGTATTTATTACAAAAAAGGAGGCCTGTATCTTCAGCTGTGCATCTAATTTAAACAAATAAATGGAATGTTAACCTGCGGACCCACTGTTCTTTTAAATGTTTAGAAACCATCGGCCTTGCCCTTGAAACAATTCCTGTATATTTACTTTCCTCTAGAGCACTCGGGAAGTCAAGCTCTAAAAAAGTATGCAAATTGAGCTTGTCAATGCTTTTCCAATACGTGACTATGTGCATGACGTCTCGCAAGAAGACGTCAGGCTCAGTGCCACATCACAGCTTTATTTTTACGGTGAAAATTTCTTGTAATTCTCATTCCCCTGGCTTTCTTTGTGGACCGCAGCTGGACCCTCCGAGATACTCTGCGGGGGAGTGGACGACGGGACATTTTTAGAGCCAGCAGAAAACGGGCAAGCTAGAAAACGGGCAAGCTAGAAAACGGGCCAGCTAGAAAATGGGCCAGCTAAAAAACGGATCGGCGAGATCCAACTTGTCACGGCAAATTTTGGGGCCACCTAAAAAGGGACGGCAAACGGGCTGGCAATTTTAGGTGGCCCCAAAATTTGCCGTGACAAGTTGGATCTCATTTGTCACGGCTATAAGCGGCTCCAGATTAAGAGTGATGGGAGTTTCGGTATTTCTAAAAAAAGAAGGGCCGTAATGCATTCGCAATTTCGTTAAGAAACATGTTTTACAAATTCCGTTATTAAATATCATTAAAATGTCGCTTACAAAGCTTCCACATTTCCTATTCGATTACGTCACAAATAAAAGAAAAAGCAAGGAGGTGTGAAAAGGGAGAGAAAAACGCCAAAGATAAGAATGGGCGCGCGCGCGTAAAGAAGTTTTTTTTTATCGCGTTGTGATTCTTATTTTCTGTGTCTATGACTACAGCTTGCATTATTTTAGACAATCGAAAAAAATACGACCTTTGGGGTGTCAGCGCCCCTTTAAGCAGGCGCAGGTTGCTTGCTGCCTATCAAAGTAAAAAAAAAAAAAAAAAGAAATCGACCTGGGAGGTGAGTTTATCGATTTCCTTAAAAAAACGTGAAGGGACTAAAAATGTTTTGATCTCTTTATAGTTTCCACAGAGTAAGGGACTAAAATAAAAATAACGTAGGCCAAAACCACGGAAGGAGAGGGAGAGAAAGAAGTGGGAAATAAAGGCTGATTTCCACCATGGCCACCTTGCACACCATAACTAAAAAAAAAAAAATACAAAAAGAACTCACGTTTTTTATATTTTTATAAACAGAATTTCTGAAAAACAATTTTTTCTCGCCAAAGTTAATTTTTTTTTTTTTTTCGTTTGCAAGATTTGAGGTCAAACAACAAATTTTCATACATAATAACGGAGAAAACAACACAGCACACGGCTGAAATCTTTTTTTTTAATTTCTAGCTTTCCGAAAGCGCTCCATCCGGAGCGCGCATATTCTGCGGGCACATCTGGATCGACTTGATCATCTTCCGCTCGTAGATCTCTGGCAGCACTTGCTCCGTGGAGCGCCACAACCGTTCCGTGGAATCCCGCAGATCTTGGCGGAAGTTGACAAAAGGGCGTACGTCATTTCCTTTGGATACATGGTTTTGCGCAAAAAAAGACGGACACAAGAGAGAAACACAAACACGAGCGTGCTCAGCAGTGCGCATACGCTGCATGTGCGGCGAGGTTGGCGAGGTCGCCAGACCGGTAGTCCCGTCGAGTTCGCTCTGTTCGGATCCGTCGGTTGCTTACGTGGGATTGTGACGGCTCGAACGCTTCCACCCCGCGTAGATCAGGGATATAAAGCCGGGACTGAAGCGTGGAAAATCGTAAGCGCTGACATCTGTGATCGTAAGAGGGAAAACGAGAAAAAGGACAAAAAATTCGGATGCAGACGCAAGGTTAGGCCTGTTCATTTTGCAGCCAATGATTGTTCACCTTTTTACACTGCATGCCACCGGCGTTTTCTCGTGCAATAAAGCAAGAACAGATTTGTTACCTCTTTGTGTTTAGTAGTCTTACGTGCAAACTGATCCAGGCACATATCCAGAAGGGAAGGGGGTGCCCTTTTCCTTCAGGGCACCCGCCCCCCTCCCCCCCCTCCCCTGAAAAATTCCATTTTGCCCCCCCCCCCCCCCCCCCCCCCCCCCCGAACAAAATTTTGGCTACGTGCCTGATCTGAACTCACCAACGGCGAGCGCTCAGCGTGCCCCGTCGCTTCGAGGCGGCATAAAGGTGTGTGACGGTGGCGGACGCGGACGTCTTCCGTTATTTTTGACACGGGCTGCACGGTACGCACCTTTTCGCCCGGCCTTTGTCGCCTGTTATTTCTGCAGCTAAACAGTGACAGTTGTGAATGGTCGACGGAAAGCTCAGTCGGTTAAGGCGTTGGTCGGCTTGTCAAGTTTGAGCAGCGGCTATTTTGAATGGCCGACCGTCTCGGGCCAATCGGTGGGCAGCTTCAAAAGTGCGAGCCCATTTCCCGCTCGTCCATTCGGAGTGGGTCTTACGGAGCGAAAGTTTGTCTCCCTCGCGGATTTTAGAAAGCGCTCCGGATCTATCAGTGGAATTCCCAATTACTTTGTGGTTTCCATCGACGTCCAGCAAGCTTTCGATTAAAAACGAAACCCTAATATTGTGAGCAGGAGGGCGACTTTGAGCCAAATGGGAATTCGCACCAAATGGGCCAGCGAGCACGGGCACGTGAACCGGCCCCGCTTGAGAGTCGCGGTAATGGGTTGAAATATATATTTTTCTGCATTCACATTAAATTTGTCTTAGGATGCGTTGTTTTCCCGGGCAAGGTTAGCTCTACCTTTCGCAACACACCTCGCATAAAAAACAAACAAAAACATGCTTAGGGTAAAATTTAAATATATAACTTTTAAGGGGCATTGTCGCTTCTTGTTCAATACTATATTCCTGATTTACATTTTACGAAAAAGGTCGAACTAACCACAACCAACAAGTGAAAAAATGATATCTGTATTAGTGACATAGTACAATCCCATTCCATCAATAGGTCGATTTGCATTTTATTCAGTAAATAAAAGAAAGTTCTTCGAAGACGAACGGACGACCCTTTGCATAAGCGAGCAAGTAGCTTCGTTTGTCGATATTGCTTAGTGCAACTGTTTGGTGCTCAGGCTCATGCCGCGTATTTGAAGTGATGCTACAAACTTCTGCCATATTGGCAGCACAAAGCTACATTGAAACTAAAAGTCGTAATATCAGAAGACCTTAACTGTACACGAGCGCAACAAACAGCGATGGCTTTTGATGATAAACAGATAAAACAGTACTTGATCAAAAGAAGCGTGCTTGACATTAACATACCTGGATTGCCAACATATTGAGAACTAGCCAAGCGATAGCTGACGTCATCCCAACCAGTCGCCGTTATGTATATTATTGATTGTCTGAGTTTCCTGACACAAGCAGAATGTATTTCATCGTCCTTGGAGAGGAAGGGCTTCTCCGGACTGAACCAACTCTCCTGCAGCGAGGCTGCCCTGGGGATAAATATTAGCTATTAGAATTCCGATGCCCTTGAAATGCACCTGCGCCAACAGAGTTATACGAAAGGACGTTGCACCGACACGCGGCATACGTGGGAAAAATACGCACTTACTATGCGGGGTATCCGGATACCGCTTTGAGCATTAAAACTTGCCGATTTCTCTTTTGCTTGGGCAAGGGGGACTGCGAAAGTGCGTATACGCGAAGTCCTTGTCTTAGTATTAGTATTATTTTTTGCCGGCTGTATCTCCTTCTTGCCAAGCTTTCCTGCGGCACGGTGGATTCACCATAAAATAATAAAAATAAAGAAGAAGCAGGTTTCTTCACTTTGGAAGCGACAGTCAATTGACGGAGAGCGGAGGAAGTCTGAACTTACCTCAAGGCAGAAACACCCTCATTAGGCAGGTCTTCAGATTACCTCCAAGCCCGACTTCGATTTCGACATGTGCGCCGCCATTTGTAGTTTCGTAGGAACCATTTCTTAGTAGGTCTCTCCGCGATCTTGTGTTGTGCACCAGGGAGTAACGCTGTGTGGTTCTCCAAGGAATTGCTTCCACCGCCGCTTTTGTTTGTTCCCTTTGTTCCCAAGGTTTCTAGCGATCGTAAACGACCTTCTGTCTTCGGAACAATGAAAGAACGCTGCAAGTCATGGAACGTCCTATTGTTGACATCTGTCTGTATGATTAAGTTCGCGGTGAGCACCTCACATGAGAGGCCAACTGTTCATACGAGCCTTGGTGTCGTCGTTGGTCAACGCATCACTGTTGGTGGCCGCGACGTCGACGAATTCCTTGGGATACCTTATGCAGAGCCGCCTTTAGGAGAGCTACGTTTCAGGAAGCCTCAACCGGTACGAGCATGGAATGGTACGTTCAACGCTGTCACCAAGCCGTTGGCATGCAGACAATTCGAGATTGAATATCCCTTTTTTGGTGAAAATTTCACCCGAGACCATACCGTCAACTCTGAGGATTGTTTACACCTTAATATCTGGAGGCCCGCAACAACCCCAGGGCAGTGTTCGGGTAAGCCGACGTGTGACGCTATCTTACCCGTTGTTGTTTACATTCATGGCGGCGGGTTTCAGGCAGGAGACGCCACGACCTTTTTGTTCGATGCTTCGAATTATGTGGCGTTAGAAAATGTTGTTTTTGTTACCTTTCAGTACAGACTAAGCTATCTTGGATATCTGACCTCGGAAACGCCGGATCTTCCAGGAAATCTTGGCTTGTGGGACCAGAATTTGCTTCTGAAATGGGTGCGAGACAATATCGGGTATTTTGGCGGGAATCCAAAAGAAGTCACTCTGGTAGGACAGAGTGCTGGAGGAATTTCAGCTGTATTTCATTCTATTTCGTCGCATAGCAGCGGCCTCTTCAAGCGAATTATTCTGCAAAGCGGATCGCCATTTAATATGAACCTGTTCGGAAACCGTCGGGCGCTTTTCATACAAGTAGCAAGAGCCACGGAGTGCTATGATGAACAGAAAGACGAAAAGACCCAGGTGCCTGACATCGTCGCCTGCTTAAGAAATCTCGACGCAGAGATACTACACTCCAAGGTTATGACAATTGACTACAAGAACCAGCCTTTTTTCCCCGTAGATGACAATGATTTCTTCATGAACGATCCCTTTTCCCTGGAAACCTACAAAAAGCTAAACGTGACGGAGATACTGACCGGTTCCGTTTTAAGCGAGGGAAGCCTATTTTTGTACAACCTCTTGGAGAACAAGCCACAGGTCAGAAACGGATTACACATTGACTACAGGGTAGCTGCAGCTCTCGTGGTGTCCGCAGTGTTTGACCTTCCTTTAACCACCTCGAGGCAAATGGCTAAAGTTTACCTGGGAGACTACGACGTGGAATATGATACGGATACGGTGCTCAAGAAATTCGCCCGAATGGTCGGGGATTCGTTGTTTGACTGTCCTACCAACGTGCTCGCCGACATGGCCGCCTCACAAGGAATTCCGACCTACAAATACTCCTTCGCTCACAAGCCGTCCTTCGACTTTTGGCCCGACTGGATGGGTGTGACGCATGCAACGGATTTGCCTTTTACGATGGGCTCTCTTCCGTTTATTACGGACCTTTCCAAAAGCGGAGAACATTTCACAGAAGAAGCGAGGAAACTTCTAGCAAATGTCACGTATACTGAGGAGGAGAAGGAATTTATGAAGCAAGTCGTCGGAGCTTGGTCAGCCTTCGCCAAGAAAGGGTCAGTATTATATTTTTATTACGCCGTTGACATCGTGTGTGCTTTTGTTTGTCGTTCGATTGCATATAAAAATGCTTAGCCAAGCGAATCAGCCCATCATAAAAATACTATAATAAAATAACACAAAATAGTTTCTGTTTGATTTTCGTTTTCGAGAGACTTGCTGGAACCCATCTGCTAGCGATACATCCTTGCATTTATTATACAGGTTGTCGGATTTTACCTCAAACTGGTTATAACAAAAATGAGTAACAACAATTGAGAACATATATTAGATTCTCAGAAAATATTTGATTACGTTTCACGCTTTTTAAGCCCATTGAAAAATTGCGCACTGAAAGAACGTCGCGAGACCTGCCTACAATAACGTTTAAAATGGCGACGTTGTCATTCCAGTCACGTCGGTAGTCACTTGTGTCGTCGGCGCTCCCACCAAGGACACACTGCCGAGATTTTAGTGACATGACTAATACGACTACGTCACCCTTCCAAACGCGATTAGGGGCAGGGCTTGCGGAGCTTTTTTTTTTTCTTTGAATGGAATTTATAAATTGAACCTAAAACGCGATACTCGATCAATTAATATCTAAAAAACACTTATGTTTTTCCAAATTATTTTGATTGGTTTGGCCTGTATTAGCGAGTTCCGTCAATGATGACATTGCAACATGTCGCCTAATACTAATAATAAAAAACTTATCCGTTAGATGCAGTTGATTAGCCTGCTTACCATGACAATTATCACCTCATCCACTATCCGCTGAGAGTGAAAATACACGGTGAAGAAGAAACTCGTCTACCAACCTTTTTTCAAAGTATGTTCGAATTAAAATTACACACCCTCTGTAGGGTTAGTAATTTCACCTAGCTGGGCTTGGAGATTTGTGTTTGTCCTTTGTCCCCCTTTTCCCCTTCTTCAGGGATTATTATCGCCACACCCTGTATATCCCATTTTACTACTATATGCCCCGTAACCAAAATATTTTTGGAATGATCAAAACGTTGGACCGGGTCCCATATTGCTGATGCGTATTCGAGCTTCGGGTGCATACGTGTTCGATATAAAATCCGCTTGATAGGCGAAGGTGCTTAAGAAAACTAGCGACGTAGGTAGCCGGGGGAAACTTTGCTTAAGATGTAGGTGACCTGGGTATGCCATGGGAAGCTATTGGTTATTTTTACTCAAAGTAACTTTTTATTATAATGCTCAGGTTCCAATGTTGCTCAGGGTGCTCTTAATCAGTCGCATTTGCGGGTCATAACCTTACTCTTTGTGGGTCATAAAATACCATACTGGTGCAATTTATTTCTGTGTTGTGTGTGTTCAACAGAACTATAAAGTTTTAGTTTAGCAATATCGTAGGGTTGATAACAGGAGCTCGTTTTGCCACATAGAAACGCAGATTCAACACGGAACACTTGAAACCGCAATGCGAAGCTTCCGCTGAGCAGTAAAAAAAGTATCTTTTTTTCTTGTTTTTTTTTGTTTGTTTTCGCTTTCCATGGAAACTATACGCGAGTACAACTTGCGTATGCAAGACGTGTTTTGGAAAGCCTTCCACTATCAACAACCATGTTCTGCAATCCCACTATCTACAGGTGAATGAACTCATTTTCACCTGAAGGGCTATGGCAAAGAACAGGGTGTTCCCTGTTCTTTGTTCCCCCCCCCCCAAAAAAAAAAAAAAAAAAAAAGAAAAAAAGTAGTTTTTGTTAACCGGAAAACTAAAGTACGCATATTTGAACGCTCAGTCTCTGTCCAAATGTCGCGCTAGTGGTCCGGACCAAAGGCCAAAGTTTAAGAAACAACCTTTATCTTTTTCACATTTATAAGCAATTTTTCGAAATTTTTAATGGAAAAATTATGACTGACGAAGCACATGAATACATGGGGCTGAATGGCGCCAACGACCGGAAACGGGCCCAATTCATTTTCCCGTTGAGAGTTCGAGAAAATTACATTGCGTTTGATCAAGATAACGGTTAATTCCGAAGCAAGATGATCTGGCGGGCTAATTCTGAAGCTTTGGCATCTACTCCGGACCGCTAGCGCTATGTTTCGGCAAGAGAATGAGCGTTCCGCGACGCGTAATATATTTTTTCGGTGAACAATTTCCGCAAATGTTCTTTTTTTCGGGGAAATGCAAGTTTAATGGCGTGGTCAAACACGCTCGTTTTTTCTTGTAGCTTACCAATAAAGGGACGGCTTGCGATTAAAATTTACCCGTACGAATTGTTTCTTAGTAGACACCATGCCTTTAATTGACGCTTGGTCAATTGAACACCTGTACCATTACCCCGGTTTCTTAGCAATTGAATTTCGGACCATAATTTTGTTCATGCAAAAGTAAAATAACCGAGTACTCACGTTAACATTATTATCCCTCTGGAGCGCGTTGCACTGCCCCTTGTGCGGACACGGTTTTTACAGTTCAACTACGATTATAAGAACCAGTGGTACGCACGTTGATGTCTGAAGATGTCGACACGCGCATAGCTATCAGGTTGGAACGAACAAATGCCTCTACGCCGATGAACTAGTACTAATTCTTCACGAGCGGATGGGCCAGAAAGATTCTTCACAAGCAGCTTTCTGGGGTATTCTGGGGAAAATATGATTTTATCAAGTGACGTCGCATTTTTTAACATAATTTAACCTATAACAAATTTTAGCACATTTTAACTTACAATAAACACATTTTGAGCGTTATCTTGTTAAGAGTGCATTGTGGGAAACTGCTTCGCTGACTGCGCGATCAGTGACGCGAACGTACAAGTTATCTGGATAAGGGGGGAGCATGGTTCGGAAGGGACTGGTCAAACGTTTTGCGACAGCTTACCCAGCATGAGCAGTAGCATCTATAAAGGGAACAGTAGCGATGAGGTGGCAAGGGAACAGTAGCGACTGCGCTTGCACATGTTTACTAACATGACAGCAGCGGGGCACTGCATGCTCTGCAATGACGTCTGTACAAGGTAGATATTATTTAATGCCTTTGGTGCTCAAACTGATATAAATTGCCTGTGCTCCTAAACTGTCATTGCAGACCAGATGTACCACCGCGGACAACATGAGCTGAAACACCAGATCTGGCCTTTTTTTTTCGTCTGCGGTTCCGACAAACTCTACTAGCTCTCAATTCGTCAAATAGTACCCGAGTATGGGACCTTAACTTCGCATTCCACTTGTTTAGACAGTAGCTCTCTGAAAAACTGGCATGTTCGCCAAAAAAGCGCAAACGACTGTTTCAGCTCAGAGTGTCCGCGGAAGTACGTTACGCCTATATCTCTGACTTGGTAAACTAAAACATACAAAACAAAATAGCACAAGCTGCCACAAGAACAAGAATAAACAATTAAACCGGCATATAAATGTATAGTTCATAAACAGCAAAAAGAAAAAAAAAAGCTGTCACAAACTTTTAAAATTATTCTCTTTCACCAACGTCAGCGTTAGGACATACATTTATACATAAAAACAAAAGTCGCGCTTGACTGCACATTCATTGCGTGATCTTGTGGGCGCCATCAACACCGCGTGAATCGGTTACGTTTCGCACAGAGTGAGCTTGCTTTTATTCTTTTATGGTTTCCTCAAAACTTTTCCTTTTCAACTTGACCTCAGCGGCAAAAGAAAGGCACGCAGCGTTTTTCATCAAGGTCGACTCTGAGAATAGTCTTCTATAGAGCTGACAAAATTGCGTCGTGCTCCGTGCTGGGATAAATGCGTGCCTACCATCTTCGACCTTCAAGATCATCAAACCCGCTTCTCTCATTTGCGTCAACCTTCAAAACAAGTTTATTCCAAGATCGACTGGACGGCCAAGTATCATACCGGAACTCTCTAGAGCTGTCAAGAAACAGTTGCGTAGATGCAGGGGCTTTTTTTTCTTCTTAAGAATGTTTCTTAGCTTCTCTTTTTTTTTTTGTGTGTGCTGTGACTTACATCCATCTGTCGATTGGGCAGTTTTCTGTGTCAGCTGTTGGATTGTTGTTTGTCAATAGCCGCTTGAGCACAGTGTAGGCACAGGCAATATCCGCTTGAGCACATACGTCGTTTTAATAGCATGTTGAATAAGAGGTTTATAAGTTTAGCCTAACTTGTCTATTGTATAATCGAAGAATTCGTGACCTTACACGAAAAGACAATTACACGTTGATCTTTATACGTCTCCTCATTTGAGATGGTATCTTGTGAGCGAACTGAGACGTTAATACTGGTATTTCATAAACAATAGTTTGATCTTAATAATTTAGTTTGTAATCAGACGAAGGATTCAATTGAAGTTTTATGAGCACCGGTTTATTAAAACGAATAAAAATGGAAGTGTTGAGGTTACAACGTTTTTTGTAAACGAGCAGCAACGTTTTATGCGTGTTCTTCATATTTTATGAACATAAGTTCATATGCGGCTGACTATACTATCCGAAATATGATTTACTATTCACCCTCCGCTTAATCTAGTAGCAGACACGCTGCCACACACATTCAGGGTCGCAGCAGCTTTCATTTCGCTTTTGCACAAAGAGTGAGGGTAAGTTGCCGGAATGATGGAGCACTCCTTTCATCATTCCAGCAGCTTCAGGGAGCGACGCGTGGTGGAGAGTAAAGAGAGGGAAGAGGCCTGCAATAAAACAAAAATCAAAAGGTTTGAGGCGAAGCTTCGAGCTAATGTCATTCACCACAATAAAAGTAAACAGCTCTGAACAGCAGTTTACTCTGACTCCGCAGGGTCACGTTCACTCTCGTAAGCAGCCGCGCTATGAATTTTTTTTTTTTGTATTTCTAGATAAAGATACAAATCGTCACTCCGCTTGTCCCTGAAAACCTTTTTACGTTTGTTTTTTTCTACGAGAAGAACGCGAGCCGTGCGCCTATGGCAACAAAAACCCCAATGTCTCTCGCATTCTCGAGGACGAGACCCGTTCCGGTGAATGCACTCTTCATGGGAATGCGCAAAAGGTCGCTTGTCATGAGCTAAACCTGCCATTGTTGAACCCTCTTCGACCTGGACCCTGCCACGTGAGGAAAACAGGATGCAACAGCTTTTTTCTTCCATCGAGGTGCTAACGGCATATTCTGGCTTGCTGTTGTATTTGTTCCAAGGTACTGTGTGTGAAACACCGGTCGTTAAGATCGAAGCTGGACTCGTCGCCGGAGTGCGGAGCCCTCTAAGTGGCAAAGTGGTTGACGCTTTCTTGGGAATACCGTATGCAGAACCACCTCTCGGGGACCTTCGTTTTGAGAGAGCGGTGCCTGCGAAGCCGTGGAATGGAACCTACAACGCAACAAGTAAGCCAAGCCCGTGCGTGCAACTCGATTTCCCGTTCTTACCGGACACCGTGTTGGACTACTCTAACTCATCGGAAGATTGTTTGTATGTCAATGTCTGGAGACCTGCAGCGGCTTGCCCTTCACTCGGAAAATGCGACGCCAAGCTGCCTGTGATGGTATTCATTCACGGGGGCGCATTTCAGTGGGGCGATTCGGCTCTTTTTGTGCACGACCTGTCTAACCTGGCGGTCATGGCAAACGCAGTGACGGTGGGTTTTAACTACCGCGTTGGCGCTCTTGGTTTCTTGTCCACTGGAACAGCGGACCTCCCCGGGAACTTGGGTTTCTGGGATCAGCACCACCTTCTCAAATGGGTACAGAAAAACATCGGTTCCTTTGGCGGAGACCCGGCGGAGGTTACCCTTAGCGGCCAAAGCGCCGGTTCGATTTCAGCCTCTTTGTTTTCGATCTCTCCACAAGGAAAAGGTCTGTTCAAGAGACTGTTTCTTGTGAGCGGCACTCCCCTTTCCATAATCGTAGGCCAGGCGTACAAAGGAGTCTCGAAGTTCATTGGAACGGCTGCTGGCCAGGGGTGTTATGACTTTGCAAAACAGCTAGAAAAGCAAATCCCGGAGGTTATCACTTGCTTAAAAAAGGCCGATGCTAAGGTCATGCTTGCGAAACTGAAAGAGGAATTGCCTATTAAACAGCTCTATGCGCCAGTTCATGGGGACGAATTCCTTCCAACCGACCCTCTTGTTGATGCGTCAAGCAATGATATCAACACCAAAGAACTGTTTCTGGGGACAGTGAAAGACGAAGGTACAATCTTTGTTCATAACATCAGGTTGGCTGCGTCGCAGTTTGGTAATCTTTTGGCTACTGCAGATTACCGATTTGTTCTGACGTTTGGTTTGAGCACGCTCTTCGACATTCCTGTGCCCAAAGCTAAGAACATTGTAGAGCATTACTACGGTGACTACGACGTAAAGCACACTGATGAGGCGGTGATAACAATTTTCGCCCATATTTTCGGCGACGGTGGGTTTTACTGCCCCACCGTGCTATTCGCGGACAAGGCGGCGGCGCTTGGCATCAAGACCTACAGATACATTTACGATCACAGAGCTTCAATCAGCGTGTGGCCCAAGTCTTATGGCGTGGTGCACGGGGACGATGTCATGTTCATAATGGGATCGCTGCCTTTCATGTACGAAAAGAGCAAGCACACACCTTATATGTGGAGTATCGTCCATGATCATTTTGGACTTCGAAACTACACCAAGGCGGAGGATGACTTCATGCATCAGCTTTCAGACATGCTGTCCTCATACATGACGACAGGGTGAGTAAATTGATTTATATATTTTCACTGCTTTGTGGCAGAAGCTTTAAAGTTATGATTTACACTTGCGTAATTTATAAGTAAAATCATCAAACAACTACAAACGAACATACTTTCCGATTTTGTGAGATATAAATAACTCCAAACGATATGAAACAACCAAGATAAAAAGAAGCCGTGAGCGATACTAGGGAGTTTTAGCGAGTCGTTTTTCAAGCACACGGTTCCGAAATCACGAACGGTACAGCTGGTCCGTTCCGTGAAACCGTACGTCAAATTTGACATACTTTAGCGAATCGTGAAAGTGGCGCGACCGTGTAGACGATGATGATGATCATGCTTAATGGTGGCGCCATCTTCTAGTAAGCATGTGAAACATTATGCAACGTGTAAATCAGTGGCGACGGTGGCGGGCACCGTAGTGGCGGCAGTGGCGGTTCGTGTTTCCGGCGTACGACTGATGTAAACAAGACGGCCGACGTAACATTTGCCGATCGGAATTTCAAGAACTGCGAAGCTAGATAGAGTAAAAAGTGTAAACGACCGTAAAGGTATGTGGTGTGTCTCCGTCATCTTCAACTTTCTACGATCGTTCACGTTGTGTGCCGTCGAACCAAATCATTTCGTCTGCTCGCGGTGGCCACGGCAGCTAGTCTGTCCGCAGATCGCAAAGATTTACTAGCATGCTCAGTGTACAGCATTTACGATCGCTTGCCATTGTGAGCAGTTCTCGAAATGATTTGGTTCAACCTCTCAAATGAAGCAGACTTAAACAGGACGGCAAATCGCCTCCCGCTGTCCTAAGCCTAACGCTCGGCTGGGTCGGCGAAGGCGGTCGCCGAACCGAGCGCCATCTTTTTTTACCCGAGTCGTGAACGGTGCTGGGTGCGTTGCGGTGACGACTCCAGCGGCCAGAATGGGAGAAAGGAACGAGAAGGGCCTCCCGACTCCCCGAACGACTCGCGCGCGCATGCGCAGTGGCGTCGCGGATGCGTTCGAGGGCGAACCGTTCGTGTGGAAACGACCTGCTAAAACTCCCTATTAAGTCTTAAAAGTATATAATAAATGCATAGATACCATTAAAACTAAATGAAGAGGTAATATCGCAATATTTATAACACCAAACCGCGGTCACATGATGTGGTGCAATACAACCAATTTACTGACAAAAATAATTTGCACTTGAAAAAAACAAACAAAAAAAAACAAGTGCACATAAAACTCTTATTTGTTTTCAAAACTGGGATTCCGAGAAGGAAATAAATTTACACAAAAAGTAACTTAATAGGTAGGTTACTTATAGTAATTATTTAAACTACACACGACATTATTTGTTCGCTTAGCAGCAAAAAAATATATTAAATTATTTAGCGTTTCAGAGTTTCCTTGTGCGGATAATGGGTTCTGTGTATTGCACACAAATTCAGTTACCCTAAAAGAGTACCATTAGCAAGGACACGCAACATCAATCACGCCCCCAGACAAGGAGGAAATCCGGGGAATTGCTGGTGGCTAATGCAAAACGGAATATATTTACTTTAGCTTTTCAACGAATGTTTATGGTAGTTTTCTGTAACGCAATAAGCTAGAAAAAAAAAACGATATGATCGGAAGATTACTTTTCTTGTCAATATAAACCAACTAAAACGTTTTAATAGACTATTTACAATATGTACGAGAACCATAAGCATGATGAAACTGTAGTTATACGCTTTTCAAGCGTTCGTTTTCTATGAAAGAAAGATTTTGAGTAAACTACTAAAATAATTGTACGCAAATGAACGTGCCAAGTGTCATTTGTTTTATTGTTTTGCTTAAAAAAACTTACTGCTGTAACGCCAGTATGTGCAGCACGTGAAGTTACAAATCCATCAAGCCTTTATCATGGGAAAGTCTTGTAAATGAGCTCGTGATTGTTAAGTGTGATTATCACTCGTCCATTTGCTTTATTTTTTTTTGTTTTTTGTTTTTTTGTTCTTGCTTCTCAGTGTTACTGCGCGCGATAATTTCACAGGTATTTATTTGAACCACTGTTTTGATTTTTTCAGGAAGCCGACGATACCTTTGTCGCACGCCGAGTGGCCACAATACTCCGCAGAAAATCCTGACTATATTTACCTTCGACCCAACAATTATACGAGGGGTCGTGAGTTGAAACGACGCGACTGTGATGTTTGGAAGTCTATCTTGATGAAAAAGTAAGTGTCCTAATTGGAGCTTTACTATAATAAAAGACACCAAATGCGAAATCACCAACTACTGAAATCACTGTGCAGTGATTTCAGTAACTATTGTTTTTTCACTGCCGCTTGTCTAGCGCCCTGCGAAAAATACAACACGCCGTTGGGTTATTCGGCTAAGTGTGTCTGCGACTGTACGCACGAAAGCTTGCGAGAAAATACCTCTTTTGAATAGGTCTGAGTGCCTTCATTCACAATCACTTTTTCCTTCCTGACTCAATGGCACTTTGGTCTCCTGAAGGCCAAAAGGGACGATCGTGCATACTTTATGGATGACTGCTGCGCTTTTGGTTTTTATAAAATGTTTTGTATACCTTACGGAAGAAGCCGGTAACTGTATTAATACAGGAATGCTTCAGCTAAGCCCCAAGATAAAAGTCAGCCTTGATGCTTTCATTGGTAGATAAATACCTACTGTTTTCAAACAGACGTTTTTGATTTCGATATCACAACCTCTACTACTCATAGAGATATACCAACCGCTGTGTTTCAGCAAAATATTTTAAAACTTTCAGAAGATAGGGCGGATAACAAAACGAAGCGCTAGGGAGCAGTACCGCTAGTGCATAGGTGCGCTCAGTTAGGAAACCAAAACCTGAAACACGTTCAAATTAAGTTTTTTTCGACCCGCCCTAAAATGATGCGTCAGCCTTATAACTTTCTAAGATAAGTTGAGTTAAGAGTTTTCAATGATTGTCAGCAGGTTTTTAATGGGAGCCGTATGTTTATCTTAACAAATAAAAAGTTAATCAGTAAACTTAATTATTTAGTCAAATGATATGTTTCCTGTTATCCTTAATGTCCGCAGGGGCTAACTGTTTGTTCCAGGAAATAATTTTTCTATTTAACAACGACCCTATTTTTCTGTCGAATTTCTGAAATGCTTCTTTAAGCGCCCCGCTTTGTGTCTAGACTAAAATGCTGGGTGTTTCAACAACACACGTTGCGATAGAAAGAGAGGCTTTTTTTTTAAATTATCTTTCTTATACATCAAATGAATATCGGTTTAAACGACTGGTACCTAAAAGAAAACGACATAAAAGTGCCACAGGTAGAACTAATTCATAAAAAGGTATAAAATGATATATATATATATATATATTTATATATATATATTTTTTTTTACAGAAGTGGAGTGGCTGCCGCACCTATTATTCCTGATGATCCCTCTAACAAAAGAACGCCACCTGGAAAGAAATCGTCCACAAAGCACGAAAGACCAGCGAGTCACCCAATTTCGTCGTCATATATTTTGTCTCCATCCGTCCTGGTCTTCGATTTGCTTGCAGTTTTTGTTTGGTTTCGATTAGTGTGAAGACACACATTGCAATAGTTTGAGTGGTCAAAGTAAAGTTTTGAAACGTCTTTGCTAAAACGAAAAATTCACACGACGAGCTGGGAACTTCTTCAATTACGTCTGTTATGAACACATCTCTAAAGACCATGCACACAATGGGGATTACGAACACACTATGAGGCACACTATGCGCACTATGAGGAGCTTATATGCCTGCCCGTATGCCACTGCATCATTGGTGTCTGCAATACTCATGATATACAACTTCAGAGAAGTTTGCCAAAAATTATTTATACTCCATCCCGAAAAGTAAGTCATATCAGCACATTTAAGAAAAGATAGAACAGCCTTAAGACGCACAGAGTGTGACCTTTGATTTCGCCGCCTCTTAAAAGCAAGCAAATTTATGCACAGAGCACGAAACCCTGCAAAGACTACAGCCGAAGGCGTTTGTGTTTAGTATGTGCATAGTTTTTTGTTTTTTTTTGTTCAAGACACTGGGTTGGGGGGGAGGGGGGAGTATGCGTCAAGCTAGCAGCCTAAAAAAAGTAAAACCTATGTTCTTTATTTTGCCAAGCTTTATACGTAGATTGAAAACTCTGTATTATATTTAGCGCACATGGTTGTGGAAAATACGAAAGTAGGGCTCTTGAAAGCAAACAAATTACAAAAGGTGGGCGAATATTAGTTCGAATAGAATAGCGCTGCGTCATTCATTACCTTTGTAGTGCGAGGGCAACGTATAACATACCGGTTTCCTGTGCAGCTTCGAAGCTGGAGATGACGCCGCGCCATTAAATACGATAGCATTTAATAGCGCAGCAACATTTCCAGGCTCAACGAATTTATTAATGCACGAAGTTGTTGCGAAGTTCGTAAGCTACAAAAAATAACTCAAATGTATCTAACGGACATATTTCAACCTAGACAAAAAAAAAAAAAAGCGTGAAGACAGACGAATGAGCGAATTATTTTTGTTAAGATTTCACCGAGAACGCCGAGACAATCAAGATATACATACAGCGCATATTTTGTCAAAACGTGTCAAATTTGATTTCTTAATACAAAAAAAACTTGCCCAGGTTTATTAGTACCATTCTTGTTTCCCAGAAAGCTGTAACGGCCAAGCTAATATACTCGGTAACAGCACCTCAAAATGTTTGTCAAACTAAATAAATTATTTTATGTACAGAGACTCTCTGACTACATGCTTAGGCACGGCCTAATTGACGACAGGCTCAGCAGAATAGGCTACGACTGTATGTTCCTTTGTATTGTGTCAGGTGAAATTACAAGGCGCCAAGACGTTTGACTACCATGAAGTTTGGCTTAAGTTGAATACCGGGCATCACTGCAGAGATCTGTCTGAGCAAGAATTCACGCATACAAGCAGGTCGAATTCGTTGTGGTATCTTTTTTCAACAGGATGAACTGCTGTGATCTCCTGCTAGCGCTTACGAAGTGCTAAAAAACCCATAAAAAAACTTATAACATTGTTAGAGCCAGTATGCTGAAGGCAATGGTTGCAAACATGTTTTTTTTCAATGAGGAATAGGTCACCTCCTTCGGCCATATTTATTCATTTATTCATATTACCCCTAAAGGCCCTCGTGAGAGGGTATTACATATGCTGAAGACTGATTTTTGTTTTATGGTTTACTTACATTACTTCACTAAACAATGCAAGCATTGCACACAAGTTGGTTTAAGAAAAAATATTAAGGCATTCGTAAGAAACCTTTTGTCTACACTTTACTCTCACCGTCACATGTCTATAATTTTGAAAAGGCGGCGATCCCTTTCATGCATTCGTTCGTCAGCTAGCACCTTGATGCTAATGTAATTAATGCAAAGATGCACCAAGCTGGACAGGAATAACGATAATAATACCTGGAGAAGGGCGCTTTAGTCGCGCACGAATTACCTAGCTGTTTTTGGAGATTTCTGTTTGTTATTTCTCCCCCTCGTTGCCCCGTATCCAGGAATTATTATCCTTACCTGGACTCCATCAAAAAATGAGCTAGATTAAATGGCAATGTCTGTACTCGATTCACCAACACTGGAAACCGATTGTCTGATGTCAATTGTTGACAATAACGTCCCTTTCCCGCGCTTCTGCTTCCCCACGCTAAATATAGGGATAAAAGGTTCGCAAGCCCTATTAGATTACATATAAAAATTATTCTGGTCGGACCTTGTCTACTTCTTGCAAAAAGTTAATAGTGTTGTTTTTACTTGCCACTGATCCCTATTAGCCTTGTTCCACAACAGTTTAATGTGATTGAACTCGCAGTGGTATGGAGGCACTTGCTTGTAGCCGTGAATCGCCGCGATAGTGCCAATCTGGTATACAATATCAAGTGAGATTACCTTTTTTGAGAGCTCAAGGAGTTCATTCCTAACTATATTGAAATACCATTAAAGTTACTTTTTAGTAAGTCTTGCTTGAATACCACATTCCCGCGTTGGCGTTGAGGGTGTTGGGAGAAAGTTTGGGGAGAAGCTTGCTTGCAAACTACCGTTCACAGCCTTTGTTATTTATCTCAGTGTGGTAGTCTGCAGTGTTGCCTGTTTAGGCTCTGAAGAAGTCAGCAGCATTTTCACCGGAGCTTAGAGCACGTGGAGCAAAAACTCGCGCTGGAGATTCCAGGCCCGTTTCGATCTGGATAAGGATCGTACCGGCGTGCGGTCGTGTATCACTACTGCGTGATACAGAATAAAGACCCCAGGCCAGAAGTGGCACTGCACTGGCCAAATTTCTCATCCATGGCATAAACCACTGTCGCTGCACGTCAAAATCAGACCGACCTTACGGTGTATAAACACGAACATCCAATCTTCTTTTTTTATCTATTTTTGTCCCATTGCCTCCATCATGAACAAGATTATTCAGAGTTATTTTCCTGACGGCGCTGCAAGACCTGTTGTTATCAGCCCTTCACAAAATCACACTGCTAGAACTTCTTGGGCTTGTGCTGCCGTAGATATTACTTGGTACATGTAGCGTTAACCAAGCATTCTGCCAGGTAAAGAATGCGCCTGCAGGAAACAAAAAAACAAAAAAGGGACGCGATTATTTTAAATTTGACTTCTTATTCTTCTTTCACAACAACGGAACGTACAACCGCACAATTTACTACCTCCGACCTGATCTAGTAAGTATAAGGTAAACAAAATTACAGTTTCATGTGAAATCATTTTTTCTAGCTTGCGACTATTAACGTTTAAGGTCACACGCGAAGGGTTCACGCATTTTTAAATAGTGTGATTATTCGAATATTTGACTAATATGACGTTGCATACAAAGTTAAGAGGATGCGTGAGGCGAATTTAGTAAAAATATGCTACAGTGGCAAAAATATAAAGCCAGAAACACATCTGCCCTTTCCTTAAGATTTCTTAGTCGGCTTCAGGCCTCTTCGACGGCCAGCAATAATTTCGCTGCGTTTGATGAGTCAAAGTCTCCCTTTTCCTCTTCTCAAACGTTAAGCCGATATCCGTCGGCAACCTCCACAAAATCGTTTTGCTCATGTATGGCAACTCGTCGTCGTCATTCACTACTCTCTGTACGCGAACCCTCTCTTGCTTCAGGCTTCGCGTGCTCGATACCTTCACATTGAGAGGCCTTCGCTTATGAGACGCCAACTCGACTCAGAGGCGTTTTGCTTTGTACTCCAGAAGAGGGCGAGCGTACAGTAAAGTAGAATTACAATTTGCGGCACTTCAAGGAGAGACTTGTCTTGGAAACGCTCTCTTGCACTTGCATACATATTTGTGATATGCTTGCTGCGTTCGAGATTCCTGATGATTGGATTTTCGAAAACGACCAAGCAAGGGAGTTATTTGGAGTTGTTGCGAAGGACGCCATTTTCTCAAAACCGGCGGGAGAGGCGTCAGCCCCACGGATGATAGAAAAACGGAGAAAAGAGAAGGGATAAAGCGCGAAACAAACAAAATAATTAAATGTATTTAGACGTTTACTAAAATATTAAGGTGGACCAGTTGGTTAAGCAGGTCCTTGTCTGTCTTTTGCGCTATTCATGTAGAGTAATGTACAGTCGGGGACAAAAGTCCCCAGGACGTGGGAGCTGCGGCTGAAACGCATTGCTCTGCCATCTGCCGGCGGGTCGCCTGGTTTCGAGATCACACAAAAGCGCATGCGCGCCCTACTCTGCCTGCAAACATGTGCTTTTTCCCACTTTTCTGCGGCACAGCGCGTAACTCGGAATCGGGCACAGGGTTCCGCCTCGGAGATAGTGCTTGCAGCTTACGAGCGTCTGTTACATATTCTGAAACTACAGATACCGCCTGGGGCATTGCACCGCATTTCGCCGTGTCAGCGCACCTTGCTTGATAACCAGTTCAGCTTATTATACAATCGTGTGCGCAACAAAGACGAGGACAAAAGCAGAGAAGAGGACACAACAAGGCGCAACTTTCAACTGAATTTTATTGAAAACGTGTTCCGGTATATATATAGTCTCAACCATCGTTACAATGACAACAAAAAAAGACAAAAGTATAGGAAGAAAAACACCATGACAGAGCATAACTGGGAAACAACACTATCTCGTTCTCAGGAAAAACAATTCCTTCTCCGATAATGCGATCGACGGCATAGCAACACACATGTCTCCTAAATAATCAATGTGCTCGGCTTCTATGATTTCGCGAGTTACCGCTGACTTGCATTTCCCAATTTTTACACATTCATCCAACAGTGGGGTACAACCGCATGTCCTGCAATGCAAGTCAAGAAAGCCACCGTTCTTTTTTTGCACGTTGTTATTGTGCTCGCGAAGCCGATCATTTAGGCAGCGCCCCGTCTGCCCGACGTAGTGGCTGCCACAGGACAACGGAATGCGGTAAACCACGCCATCTGTACAGTCGACAAATTTCGTTCTGTGCTTCTTTTCACAACCGTGTTTGGCACGCACGCCAGGCTTTGATAGTTTGCACAGTTCCATGAGCTTATTGGGCGCAGAAAACACTACCTTTACATTGGATCGCATTGCTATTTTCTTTAGATTGTGCGACACTCGGTGTACATACGGAATCACAACAACTTTTCCTTTTTGTCTTACCGGCTGGCTCTCATTGTTTTCTACGAGACAGCGCTTTCTTAGAAGGCCTTCCGCGACCGCAACAAGAAGGTGTTTTGGATACCCAGCTGCGAGCAAGCGCAAAACTTGCTGATTAAAACCCTGGGGGATCAAATGCTCACAGGACTTTTTTAGTACATTGGTGAAACACAGGTTAACAATACTCCTTTTGAGTCAAAAGGAGTATTGTTAACCTGTGTTTCAAAAACAATTCCTTCTCCGATAATGCGAATGCCCACTCGAAGCTAGTCAAAAGTTTTGACTAGCTTCGAGTGGGCATTCGCATTATCGGAGAAGGAATTGTTTTTCCTGAGAACGAGATAGTGTTGTTTCCCAGTTATGCTCTGTCATGGTGTTTTTCTTCCTATACTTTTGTCTTTTTTTGTTGTCATTGTAACGATGGTTGAGACTATATATATACCGGAACACGTTTTCAATAAAATTCAGTTGAAAGTTGCGCCTTGTTGTGTCCTCTTCTCTGCTTTTGTCCTCGTCTTTGTTGCGCACACGATTGTATAAGATGTCAAACCAACTCGCCCAAACAACCACTCTTCTTCAGCTTATTGCTCAGTTGAGCGGCCGTGACTTCTTGCTTCATAGGTGCCATGTCAGTAAGCGCTATCTCCGAGGCGGAACCACGCGCCTGATTCCGAATTAGGCGCCGCGCCGCAGAAGAGCGGGAAAGCGCACGTGTTGGCAGGCAGAATAGGACGCGCATGCGCTTTTCTGTGATCTCGAAACCAGGCGACCCGCCGGCAGATGGCAGAGCAATGCGTTTCAGTCGCAGCTCGCGTGTCCTGGAGACTTTTGTCACCGACTGTACATGATTTTTTGGTATTAAGATTGCGTTTGGTGAAGATAAAAACGCCGGTACACTCTACGAATTCTAAACCGAGCGGGAAATTTGCAAGACAGTGTTACGAGTGTTGAGAAACTTTCGGCGTGTCTAAGAAAAGTGCTCCTGTTATCTACACGTAGCTATTCACAGTCGCTATTGCCCTGTTCATTCATCCAGGTTCACAATCCTCACTCATTGGAAATTATCGGTTGTATGTATATCAGACGTATTACTGCAGGATTCAATGTAGAGGGACGTATTTACAATAGTTCATACTTGGCTGTCGTGATTAACATGCACCTTTCGCAGGCAATTCACCGTAATGTCACACCTGTTGGGCTGGTGTTCTGATGATGTAATTAACAAATGCGGTAATGCTTTAGGCGCGCGTTTAAAAAGAGACATGTGGCGGGCATCTGGACTCATGTGTGCACATCAGAGGTATTTACATTACGTGTTTTTGCCATCTTTCCAGGTGATAAAAAAACGCATCCAGTTGAAAAAAACATAACGTTATGTAAGTTGGGAGTTCGGTGTTAAGTACAAAGCATTGCAAGGTTGAACAAAAGGAAGAACTACAGCGAATACCGGATGCGGGTTTCAGGAACTTTCCATTGCGCCATTTTCTGGCGCCAATGTTACAATTTACACCAGTCAGACCAGGACACCGTATTTGACAAAGTGGGCTAAAAGCATTATGCATTTTAAATCGTTCCTATATTTCCCACCACCGCTGCCAAAATTAAAAAAAAACATCGTGTTCGCAATATATCGTGAACAATAGACAAAATGGAGTCCATTGCTCGTATTAAATATAGATAAACCATTATTTTGAATGCTCTTAAAATAGTTTCTAGATTAAACAAATGGCTATGTGCTATTTATCCCGTTTGGTCGCCTTGTTTTCCAACCCGAGACCATATTCACAAATGTACGGTTTTTCGCTGATATAACAGACCTCAATATGTTGTCGTGTGGACAGAAGATTTCAGGTAAAAACACATTTAAGCTCTGAAGCTACAAAAACAAAATAAAAAATGATATCGTTTCTTGGAATGCCTAAAGCGTGATATTAATTTTACTCCCTGCCTTAAAAAAGGAAAAAAAGAAAAAAAGATTGGCACAGATGTGTTTATTTTGATATATTTCCGAGCAGACATCGAACATCTTGAAACCTCATCAAGCATATTTTATCCCCGAAATAGAAGCGTTTCAAAACAATGTTACGCGTTTATTGCCTCTGAGCATTCCCAGATTTGCAGCATCTTTATTCCAAACCGTAGAGCTAATCTTTCTTTCGGAATGTCCTTCTATATTTTCTCTGCCTCGTTCATCGCATGTATTGCGCAGTTTCTCTCTGCCAAGGTCTCTAAAGCGTTATTCATGGTCAACACTGTTTAACCTGCCGCACTTATTCATTTTGTACTGCCTGACCTCTCTGATCACCGGGACAAACTTTGATCGTCTTAGTGTACTTGTTAGTAACCAACATGCCTTATACATTAAACTAATATTTGTTTTATGTTTTGTAAGTGTTGTTGCTTTGATTTTTTGTTTTTGTCGTTTACTTAGAACGTGCACTTCTTTCTTCTTTGTTGTGCAGCGTTCACTTAAAAAAAAGAATACATTTCGTGTATTTAAAATGAAAAGGACATTATAACCAGCTTTGTTTTCTTGGCAACGAATCATTCTTGCCCAAAATAGTTATTACCACTGCGGGATCGAGCAGTTGAACCCTTTCCAAGTTACCTGCCTGATGCAGAGGAGAATTGTCAAGGATCATTATCGACGCTTCTTTTTTTCCTTCATAGTAACGTGGTAAGTGTGCCGTTGGGCCGACAGAACCATACGCGAAATCTTTCAACGTCCTTCGTACGCGCGCCGGTTCGAGCACTATTAGATCACGGAAAGTGGTAGACATCCGCGAGTTTCTAGTGATTATCTCCCCGTCAAAATAAAAAAAAATATTATAACCTTCACGCAAAAAAAAAAAAAAAATGCGAGTGTTCGTTTTTGTTGCCGAAGTTGGCAGGTAAAATTTATTATCTAGCCTTAAGAGTAAACAAAAAAAAAACCGGTTTAGTCGGGTATAGATTAGCATATTTGTGCACGGAACTCTCTCTCTCCGTAGTATGACCAGGGTCACGCAACTTCCCTCGTCCCGCAAGGATCGCATGAACTACCGTTCAGTGCTGCAGTTGGGAGAGGACAAACACCTTCCATTTCTAACAGAAGAGCCGAAAACCGATGGTGGTGTTTGTAGTTGTATCAGACTCGTCCAAAAACCTTCCTCGATAGTGATGTCAGTGAGCATATGGAACTTGATTTGTTTAGCGGCACTAGTGTCGTGCGAACTGCCACACGTTCACATTGAATCGGGGTTGATTGCGGGAACACGCGTACAAGCAGAAGACAAAGAAGTCGAAGCCTTTTTGGGAATACCTTACGCGAAACCTCCAGTTGGGGGACTACGCTTCAAAAAGCCGCAGCCCATCTCGCCATGGAATGGGATCTACAATGCCACAAGTAAGCCTTCTCCATGCTGGCAATCGGACCTCCATTTTATGGACAATGGCACACTTAATTATTCGAGTGCGTCGGAGGACTGCCTTTATCTGAACATCTGGAGGCCTGTATCATCTTGTCTAAAAACAAGCTCCTGTAACAAAAAGCTTCCAGTCATAGTCTTCATTCATGGTGGAGCATTCCAGTGGGGTGACTCGTCTCTCTTTTTGTACGACCCAGCGAACTTTGTGGCCATGTCGGATGTCGTGTTCGTGACGTTCAACTACCGTTTAAGCATATTTGGATTTCTGTCGCTGGAAACGCCGGCGTTACCTGGCAACATGGGTCTCTGGGATCAGAACCTGCTGCTCAGGTGGGTCCAGAAGAATATTGCGAACTTTGGAGGGGATCCCAACGAGACAACGATATGTGGTCACAGCGCCGGCAGTATCTCTGCAGGACTTCACGCAATTTCTCCGCACAGTCGGGGTCTTTTCAAGAGGGTTATCTTGCAGAGCGGAACACAGCTTTCTACTATTTTTGGTGCTGCATACAGAGGTGGTGCCAGACTTGCTGGAATTATTGCCGCTCTGGGATGCTATGAATATCGTAGGAGAATGGACGAACAGCAGCAGGAAATTGTGAATTGCTTGATGAAACTGGATCCGCAATTTATATTTGAGACTTTGAAAACTCAAGACATAACCCAACAACTGTTCATGCCAGTGGATGGAGAAGACTTTTTTCCTGGTGATTTATTGTCTGACGAACACTGGTCTCATCTGGAATTCAAAGAAATCATAATAGGCGGCTTTGTGAATGAAGGTACGCTGTTCATAAACTACCTGAATTACAGGTTTCCGGGTTTACTTGAGGTCGCTACACAAAACCATCAGATGGCGACCATACTCTCACTAGGAGGGGTCTTTGATATGTCATTGATTCACCGAAAGCAAATCGTTCAAGCTTACTTCGGTGATAAAGTTCCAAAGAACAATGAAGATATGGGGGAATATTTAAGCAAGATGTTTGGAGATGCAATTTTCTACTGTCCAACACAGATTTTTACTGATGCGATAGCAAAACTGGGAATAACCACGTACAGATACCTGTTTGACTACAGGCCGTCTTACAGCTTCTGGCCTGAGTGGACTGGGGCTTCTCATGGCGACGAGCTCCTCTTCACACTTGGATCACTGCCTTTCTTGAAAGATAAAGCGAGATACACCGAGCCACTCGGAAAAACTGGACGAGCGTATTTTTCAAAACTTAATTTTACTACACAAGAAGAAATATTCATGAAGCAGCTTGTGAGCACTTGGACTTCATTTGTCCAAACCGGGTAAGGATGTTTGTTTTATCCTACATCTGGTTATTGGGGAGAGTAAGGAGACATGTTTTGCATGAATGTGACAAGGAATTTGCGTTGGGATGACTATTAACACTTTCCCAGTATATTGTGGCATGTATGAAATCCTATTTCGGGCTCTGTTTTGTAGTTATGAAGTAGAGTTATGTCAACACTGGTGTAGCATCGAGCTTTGAAGGAGTGAGATGGTCTCGAATTTATGGCAAAGTATATTAGGGTGCGTACTACACTTCGTTTCATCTTAGTCCAGTCACAGCCGATGCTTCGAGGTAATGGGATCCATCAAGCGGCGCCAAAAGCGATATTAATCTGGTCTTTTTCTATTAGGATTGGTTCAGCGATGATGAACACATAATACCATTCATGATGACGCGCTTCTGACACTGTCTCATTGGTCCCATCAGCTCATAGCGTCGGCTGCGTCTAGACGTAAGGTGAAACGAACTATACAGGTTCGGACTTGAATACTCCAACAAAACATTTCCTACTACTTGTGTTTGGGAAAATCATGTACACTGTCCAGCTCTATCCATACACGACACTGGGAATCAAGAAAACAGCGATTCTTGTGTAAGTGCTCTTAATTTTTGAATGTAAAACAAATAAAAGTTGCACGTTTCAAATTGCTTATTTTGGAGATCCAGAACGACACATACACATACATATTTTTATGGGCGGAAGGAATGCTTCTAGTGCTATAGTAACAGCCAAAATTAACTCATATTATACGGCAGAAACTACTTTGCAGACGCCACCAAGCATTAGATTACTGCTGTCGTCTTGCATAAATCCTGAAGACACTGCGCTTAATTCTTTAGTTTGAAGCAACTACCAACGTCGTATATATCGGCCTGAGAAGAAATACATCCATTAAAATTATTTAAATTCATTTTAATGTTGTTTGCCGTAGAAAAAGCTTACGGGGTGAGCGACACGTATAGCCACGATACAATTTGTAAATATAAATATAAAACACAGACTAGCGCGCTTTTTTCAAACATTTATATTGGTATGAATAAAAGTCGTGCACTCTGTATTTACTCCTGGCTTCCAAGTCTTCTAGTAGTCTTCTGAAAAGGCAGTGCTGTTGACTAAATGAGGCTGATAAAGGTCCTTCTCCAAACAGCTTGAATGAATTTATTTTGCGAACCATACTGAGTCTACAATTTCGCCAGGGCGAGCACGAAGTAAGCTAAGTTGCAGCCTTGGAATGTCGATGTCAGCCACTAATAACGTTTCTGAAATGGGAAGCGTTGCGACGCGTGGAAGTATAGGTTAGAACAGGAAAAAAAAAAATAGAATTTAGAATATTATGGGAGTACCTTACACTCCCCTCTGCCCTCTTTTATTTTTTATACATCTAAAATCATGCTAAGTATCTTTAATTTTCTAGCGTTTTGTGAGGCTCTGGCACACATAAATTTTACTAATTGTGACGAGCAAAATGTGAATTGCCGTAAAACGTGAGCAAGACTAATATATGCCTTAACGATGCATAATATACTTATTGCGGTTTATTAACAAAGTAACAAATCTGTGCATAAAAGTCTATTTTTATCAAATGATTGGTTCCAGGATAAAGCGAAATAGCTAATTGATTAACATTTTTAAAATGGTTTGCCGCCTAGCGGTATCATGTTTAGATACGGGGGATTATGAGAGGTAAGTAAAGAAGTAATCCTGTAGAAATTTAAGGGTTTGCGCTACGAAGCTAGAGATTTTGTGATTCCTAATTTTGAGTTTCCCCATGAAACTGTACAGTTTGCCTACGAAACACTAGCTCCTCTCTGGATCACGACAAATAAGGCAAATAATCTATTGACGTGGGAGGAAATAGAAAGACAGATACGAGAGCTGTCTATTGTTCGTCTTTTATATATCGAAAAGGGGCTTGAGTTGTGTGTTTTTTATATTAACATTTAAGGGCAAGCGATGTATTACAAATACTTCGGAAAAGGGACAGCTCAGGGTTGTAGAGCTACATTCATTCGCAACTAATCTAGGTGGTCAACTACGAACTCAACTCAAGAAAACAAAATTGTTGACAAATTATTCAGTATAACGTATCTTGGGTAAGCGCTCGTAAGTCCAGCTATCTCAATGCAGATAGGATTCTGTGAGGTTTTACATAACCGGAAAAGCATACAATTCTACCGAGGTAAATTTTAGAAGAGCTAAAAATCCTTGAACAGGAGAGCGAAAACTCTGCATTTTTGAATGGGAATCCCAAAAACCAGATTGTAAACACTGTTTAAAAGCGTAGTACATAGGGACACAAATATTGTGTAATAGTGCTTTACATATCGGGCATAGAAATGAGAGTAGGCTAGTAGGCATTTTGACTCTATATGACTGAAGTCTCCATATGACTTATAATATGAACACAAAGACTTCTGAAAAATTGTTAAACGGGAAGATGTCTGGAAACCGACTCGGCTTTCTTTTTCACGGGTGACTGTGATAACAAAGCAGCAGTGGTTTTGTATTCTTCCCAGGTGGTGGTGTGTTTTTCCTTCTTTTTTTGCCTTGGTCGTATAGTGCAATCCGCTGATGTGTGCAGAAATGATGAAATGTCAAGGCACCTGTTGCTTTGACACCTTATGTTCTCGCGGATTCAAGTGGAGATTGAATTTTACAACAATCTAAAAAAAAAATAGTTCTAGCTTTAAGTAGAGGTCACCAAATTAAAATTTAAAATTAAATCAAGAATTCAATATTTTTATTTGCGCCTTGTTTATATCAACTAGCATGTCTTGTTTGTAAATTGTTTGGTAAATCCATAATTACGTCAAAATTATTACTTTAAAGGTACGTTTCCCGCCCGTCGCGATTTTGTAGGTGAATACTGTGAAGTCAAATATTATATTGGCTTTAGTGCTGGCATCTGAATTCGACACTGAAGATAGTAGCAGTATGTGCTTCTCACTTTTGTGTATCGCCCAGAAGTGTTTTAAACTCCTTGCGAAACAAATTTTAGGCACTAAATTTTAGAAAATATTATTACTCATTAGATATTTCCTACCACCATCAAACTTATCGATGTGTTCTCGACGTTGTTACTTTATTTTAATGCTTTCTAAATATATTTCGCTATATTGTATATCTGCAGGAAGCCTGTGATTCCCGTGGCAGGCGTTGAATGGCCCCGTTACACAGTCGAAAATCCTCAGCTGCTGCGTCTGCAACCAAACAACTACAAGGTGGGACTTGAGGAAAAGCGGGACGTTTGTAAGCTTTGGAAACCTCTCCTTCTGAAGCCGTGAGTAAATGTTAATCCCGTCTTTTTGTGTAAATGTGTTTCCTATTTGAATTCCTGTTGGGCCGTTGACGCACACAGTTTACTTCGTTTGTTTTTTCATGGAGAGAACTTCCGTTTTTCATTGTACGTTTAAAGGTTTAGTGAGAACCAGAAAATAGCTTACATTTCGAAAACAAACACCCCTTTACAATGTTGTCTTTAGGAGGGCCCAAAAGTGAGAACAACGAAATTCAACTCTTAAGTAGTAAAGGGTAATGGTTCGCGTATATTTTGCTCTCTAAATACGGACCTATAAAGCAAATATTTAAAAAAAAAACTAAGCTAACCAAACCCGACTTCAAAGCGCCGCAACTGCAGGCCCCAAAACCCACGAAAAACCTAAGCCTAGCTGCGAACGACATCCCACCGCTGCCACCATGTAGTATACGTAGCCGGTGAGGAAAGAAAGCACAGCCGTCCATGTTAGCTGAGTAACTCCTTATTCTTCTTCCGCCTAAGCCCCAGGGCTTGTACCACAGTCGCTGCAACTTTGTTAGGGGCAATGTGTTGCATAATCTTTTCAGAAAGCAGTAAAGTCAGTACTAAACCGAAAATTATAAGTTGTGATTATGCGTGTAAGCACAGTAAAGCTTACAATATATAGTGTAGATAATTTTGTTCATTAACGAACTATTACTAATGGGTTTATTTATTGTGCTAATAACTTCTATCCTCGAGAAAATAATACTGACCAAAAAAGACAACCTCTTCAATCTCGTTATTGTAATATATTTATATTACCCTAAGACAATTCGAGACGTTAATGTTCTTGCCTAATAGAAAAATAAATTAGTTATTTATTTTATTCATTATTTTTTCACCGTTTGTTCCGGTTTCTTCTTTAGAATCAATTGAAAAGGTAGTTTGGCGACGTGCGTTTTTTTTTGTATGTAGGCCATTTAATATATTACACATACTGAATATTTCGCGTATTCATAAGGGTGATTACTCTTATAATATTTATTCTAGTGATTGGGGCTGGGATTAACTAGTACAATATTTTTAGCAGGAACTGTGCACTTTTACTGATTCTATAAATTTGACCTTTATTTCTTATCATCTTTTTACACTCAGCAAGAAAAGAACTGCAAGACTTAGTAGAAGGAATTTAAAATAATAACACGACACTTATTTTTGGGGAAATTGGCGTGTGGTCAATCTACCAAATGTCCATGAAAATAAACACGAGTTAACTTTTGCATATGAACATGGCTGTTCATCTGATATTTGCCACTTTTTTGTTTCAGATTAAAATACAACGTTTACTTTAACATCCCTCTCCTGTCTTGAGGGTTGCGTTGAAATCTATTTTAACTTTTCTCGATATAACGTACGCAATTATTGATCCAGCTTCTATGAATTAAAAAAAATGAATGAATAAATCAATTATTTAATATTTAGTTCATCTAATTATCCTTTAAACGCAGTCGATATTATAGTTATAGAATCAGTAGAATAATCTTCACTCCCTTATTTTGAGACGTAGCAAGAAAGCATTGAATCTTAATATTAGTATCATATAATTATATTCGTCATTCCTAGATTGCTTTTTGCCCATTTTTATTTTATCGGTTGATGTAATTACATAAAGCACAGCGGAATTTTCGCAAATTATTAAAATAAACAACAACAACCAAAAGAAAAACTCCAAGAACTATTGACCGCGGTCAGCACCTGCTACACCGAAGCGCCTTTCATGAAAAAATAAACTTTTCTTTTATTCCCACGGAGCTTACGTCGCACCGAGAATACTTCAGCTTTGTACAAAGTAGTGCATTTCTAAATACTGCGATCCAATTGAGAGCGACATTTCTTAATCCCTCTGTTATTGGCAAAACACATACTATCAGTCGACACTTCCGGTGCAAGTTCAGCAAGGTTGTGTTTGAGTTGTCTTGAAAAGCGTGCAAACAGGAAACAAATACTTTCATTTCATTTCATTTATTATTCCCTCAGGGCCCGAAGGCATTACTGCCTTCGGGCCCTGAGGCTTTGCTTTGCTATACTATAGCAGCTGAAACATTCAAGCAATGAGATTTTGTAATTTATTCGATAAACACAAACTACAACCACAAATGTCGGTATATTATCCCGAATCCCGGATATGAGCTTATTCACAACCTTCGATAAATTGAAGAAAACTCAAAAGTACAATAGAAAACTTAGTTCGGCGTGAGCGCGTTTTTGAAGTTAAATAAAAACAGAAAGAAAAAACATAGGGACGGACAGTGCTGTTCCGTCCGTCCCTATGTTTATTATTTTTGGTTTTACAATAGAAAAGTTGCGACGCCGTACATGTAACCGAAAATTGACGATAGAAAACTATGCAGCTTGTCAAAAACCTCTCGTTTTAAAACCTTGTTTTTTTATGATATCCACACGAAAGGTATAATCGTTCAAGCAAAACGCTCTAAGAAAAGATAGACCCTGTTAAATATCTCGCCGACCTAAGTTAACCTATAAAACCTAAATCTCCATTTTGTGAATTAGATTTAGAATTAAACGCATATTTTCGCGTTTACAGGGGCCCTGCGACAGCTGATCCCGCCACGCCCACTTCAACACAGAAGTCCCCTGTATCGGGCAGGACAGGAGCAACCATCCAACCTGCGCTATCCGACAACCACTTAGGCTCATTGGCCCCAAGAGTCCGGTCGCTCATCTCGTTGCAGCTGATTTTTATTTATCTAGCTGTTTCTTTTTTCCAACGGTACTGAGAGCTTAAAAACGTGCAATTGCACCGAGGTAACGGGCAATGTTGTTACTGCTAATGGTAAAACAACGCCAGTCACAATGTCGAGCAAGGCACAATCTAGAGCAAACCACTTTTTAAAGGTTGCGAGTAAAATATCCATCTTGCTCATTTCAAATGCAGTTTGTACATTCTGCATCACTGAGACGAACTAGAGGATAATCCTCGAAAGAGAACAATGAATCTTCGACTCAGGCACGTAGCCAGGACTTTTATTGGGGGGGGGGGGGGGGGGGGCGCCCATGACGAAATGTTGTGTGAGGGGGAGGTGGGAGAGGAGGCCCCAGCAAAGTGGAAGTTTTCCGGGGGGGGGGGGGGTATGTTCTCCTCCCACTCCTACGTGCCTGTTTCGACCTACCTCGTGTTTTTCTATAAACTCACGTCTATTAGATTTAATATATACTGACAAACCCTAGACCAAGGCAGGTTTTTTACAATAAAAACATCTGAACTGCTCCAAGAGATTAGAAATTCAAATAACAAATGGTACTTCAGTCTCACCTGAATGGTTGACCAGCTCCAAGTAGTCTCTTTACAAATCTCACATATGAGTGATTTCAGGGGGTCTCAAACGCAATCCTGAATAAATGAGTGTTGCACCCATGTAATCGGTTCATAGCCCCACTATGCGATAGCCCTGTTATAGCCTCTAGGGCTGTATCTATCTTCATCCGTATCAAGTTTTCAAAAATGTTTCAGGAGGGGGTAGTAAAGAAGGCAGTATATAGTGCACGCCAAACCTAATAATCTGTCGACCGTGGTGTGAGAATACAACCTTCCGAATAGGCCACGCCAGTTTTAAAGTGATACAGGTATATGAATATTTGTAAATTTAATATTTTTATTTTAACATTATTCTTATTAAAGCATAAAATGCTTTTTAACGCTGCCACTTATACCAAATTGTTGCCTGTCCGTCCATGAATTTCCCGCTAAATTTAGCGGGGACATACATATCACGTGCCCTATGCACACATTTTGTTTCCCCGTTAAGTTTACCGGGAAATTTGATGTAACTTGAACTGACGTCACTGGAACGACACAAAAATTCAGTTTCCCCGCTAAATTCAGTGGAGAAATTGACTCCACACGATCTATACACTACTTAAGTTTCCCCGCTGAATTTGGCGGGGAAATCGATGCCACGTAACCTGACGCTACGTGAACTATGCACCAATGTAGTTTTCCCGCTAAATTAAGAGCGGAAATTGACGTCACGGGACCTTAACTATACAAATATTGTGAGACATTGTGGGATAAAAGGACATGTAATGAATAAAAATAAAAGAAAATGCTAAAGCGATTGTTGAGTTATGCCTGATGGCTGACTAAGGGCTGGCTCTCGTTCTCTGCTTCCCCTTCATCTTCACCTATCTCTGAGGCAAGTTTGGCGGTGTGGGCAGGCACACTGCTCACATCCGACTTCTTTTCTTTTCTTCTTTTTTTAGGGTTAAAGAAGCTTTTATTCTTAATAGTTTAAACACTGGGATTGGGCTTGACATGGAAGACGGAGTTTAGCGGAACGGGGTCCGAGAGGACGATGTTCGAGGGGATGGAGTCCAAGAGAACGGGGTCCGGTGGGGTATCGTGCGAGTCCGTCTCCGGCTCTGTTGTGAAATTATAATGGCAGGGATTGCTGAGGCGGATTGGTCTGGTTGGACCACGGTACGGTACACATATGGTGAATGTTACGCTTTCATCTCACTTGCGTGAATGACGCGAACCCGTCTTCCAGATGTCAGAGAACTGTTGATGTGGCGAACATCAAAGGTGATGGGTATACGTTGGTGTGTAATCTGATATAAGCCTGTAAATTTCTGGTGGTAATATTTCAGATACATGAGGCGTAGGCTGCTTTCGTCGCATCTAAACGGTCTCCGATTTCGAACGGGGCATTTCGATGAGATGCGCCTTATATCGTCTTGTGAGTTTTTTTAGATTGTTCTTAGTTACTGGTGGCTTCGCTTCTTATGCCTAGGAGTTTGAGAAGGCGTTCACTAATGCTGCACGCTTGGTAAGAGCGAAATTTCTGCTGCGGGAGTTTCGGCGAAAGCCCACACAAAAGTTCAAAGTGTGAAAATCTTATACTCACATGTTGGGTCGTGTTTACTGCAAAACCAGCTCGTCAATTTTTTTAACGAGAGGGACTGGTCGCCTCTTTCGAGGAGCGTGGCGATCTGGGTTTCCAGAAAGTGTCGATTAGTGTGTTTGTA